TTCGCTGTCTGAGCCACTAAGAGCTCTGTCACTAGGAACCACATTCAGCAGCAGCCTCTGGCCCGGTCCTCTCTTTGCGGTTTTCTACTAGTGTTCAAAGCAGCTGAAAGGCGTTTTTCATGTATGTAATCCAAATTGCAGGCACCACAATAATAAAATCGAACATATTTTACCGTTTCGACATTTTAAGTTAATTTAAGTTTTAAGTTTGCTGCACAAAGATGTGTGTCAACCATTGACCTTGCATGTAAATTAACTGCTTCTGTTGCCTTGGCTGCTTGGAGTTTCAACGTAGCAAAAGGAAGCATTATTCCTCCTAGCGCTGCTCAGTGATGCAGTAGGTTGTACTCCTGCCTTGCAGCAAGAATCTTCTGGTTTAATTTCCCAGTCTTTCTGCATGGGGTTTGCATTTTCTCCCTGTGCATGCATGGAAGAACATACACATTCATCTCCGGGTACTCTGGCTTCTTCCCATACTCCAAAAACATGACTTCTAGGTTGATTTGCTTCTCTAAATTCTCGTTGGGTATGAGTGTGTGTGTGTGATCCCAGCAGGGATAAAACATGACAGAAAATGAATGGATGGACGGATATTTATCCTGGCTTAGTAAGCCTGCTTATACCTTTTTCTCTTAAACCAGCTTCACATATATCACTTTGCATGGCTGTTCTCTAATCCACTGCAAATAGCCAGTGCAGAAGAAGCCATCCATGCCTCACCTCATTTTTTTAAATTTACCAGATTCACTATACTCTCCCCATGTCTGAGTTCTTGTGTGGTTCATCTGGTTTTTAAAGATTGACTAATTTTGCTTGGTAATTCGTCATAAATGGATTTGATACATATACCTAATGGACGACAGAGGGTAGCTATACATCATGCTAAATGCAGCAGAATTGGTAGGAATTACCACACTGGTTGGAAACACTTCTATTTGTAACTGAATAGGAGACACATGGACGGAGGCACCACCTGCTTTTCTTAGAGTCTGTGCTCAGTCTGCCCTCATCGGAGTGTAATCGGCTCCTGAGGTCTCGCTCACACTGCAGGCAAATGTGGCACAAATCTGATTTATTGGAGCATGGAGTGGTCAGATCAGGCTGTTTAACACAAGTAGGGATGCTCAAATGTAGTTCATATAAAACTTTTAAAGTCACATTTGAGCATCAATCTGTGGTGCAGTATCTGACTGGTACATGATCTTTTGGAATGATTGGACCAGGACAGATCAGATGGGACTTTGATATCACTCCCCATCAAATTTGTCATAAATATTCGCTGCCCAACAGAAAACAGCAACAGTTTGCAAACAGACAAAAGCTTTTATACTAACACTACAAGACTGATTTAAAATTAAGTAATATTTGCCATTTAAGCAGGTACAGTAGCAAGACTATCTAACAATAGAATAAGTATTTAAAGTAAGACAACTGAATGTACACTGTAAAATGATAATCTTGTTTGTTTTATATTCTTTGGCATAAATCATCTTATTCCATTCTTAAAATTTCTTACTTGATTGTTCAAATAAAAGGAATGAACACTTACTTCATATTGGCCTTATTTTTCAAGTTCTTAGATCTTGTTGATAAACAGAGTTTAAAGTTTATTGACATATTAGAACTATCAGGATATGGAAAATGGTTTGCATTTTAACTTTTGCATAGAACCCTTAAAAAGAGCTTTAAAATGTTAAACAGGTTAGTCAGCATGTGGTTTGAGGCCTCTGTTGCAGTTTAGTACTTTGGTTTGTATATAGTCTCCCTCTTGTAGAATTGCGGTGAGGTACTAACATATGCGATTAAAAGTTGTTGTTGTTGAGAAAGTAAAGTTCTTAATAAACGTGACCTT